GCCAGCCATTCGCTTCCATTGCTAACCAATTCTTCTGAAATTGGATTAGATGTAAAGCTCGATCCCTGCAGTTGCTGCTGGTTATTGCTGTGAGGAAGAGAGTTATTTATACACAACTGCTTGGGCTCAAATCACAAATACAACTGCATTTTCTGGCCAGAACAGTAACTCTATTTGATGGAGATGTGTTTTTCTGCATTAAATCCAGGTTCTATACTCACCAAGAAGATAGAAGATCTAAAGGGACATTTGTGTGCACAGTGACCACGAGCATCATGATTCAACTCAACAAAACACCAAGAAACTGGGCAGGTGCATCTCCAAAGCCAATGGTTAAGCCATTCAGATGAAGCATAGTTGTATAACAAAGTAAGTTACAAACAAGACTATGGAAAAACTGAGGAAAGAAACTTCCAAAGGGTTTGGCATCATTATTCTTAGTATTCTTAGCTGAATGCATTTTGCTTCAGTTCCAGTGTAGTCAGATATTCAAATACAACTTGAACACCATCTGTTTGCCATGATCCAGAGACAACAAAGGTTGGAGAGCACAAATCATGAAGATGGCAACAGCTACACACAGTTTTTGCCTATACAATCAGTTTGTACCAGACCAGGTCCAGGATCCACAAGAAAGGCTGTTGTCTACCCGTAACACTGGAAGAGTTTCCTCTAAAAGCAGACACATTTATAACAGAATCAGCACTAGGTTGGTGCAAAGAATAGATTCACAAGGAAAAACATTTACAAGAATATCAACGTTATCAATTCCTCCATGCGAAGAGTCCATGCTCAGGTCTCTGGACCAGCACAGCAGAAAGCACTGGATTTACAGCAACTGGTGAGGAATAGCTTGCAAGACATCTGCATGTGAACCTGCGCTACAGAGATCATTAGTTTACTCAATAACATCTCCAGTGTCTTCACTACGAAGTAAGAGTGCTGTTTCCTGCATTTGTGAAGCTCTCAGGCCTCAAGATACCTGCTGAAGTTCTTTTGGAAGGTTGGCAAACCAAGAACATTAAAAGTCTGTATTCAGGAACTCCACTTCAGTAAATCAACTGAATACAACAGCCAATAAAAGCAAGAAAATCTAAAGCAAACTCTATTGCAATAACCAATTTTAATGTTGTTAATATGGCAAAGCTCATCGCAACAAATTACAACTGAAACTTTCCTCCACAGTATTATTTAGGGCAGGTTTTGCTCCACCTAACTCGGACAATGGGAACAAGGTGCATGTTTTCATGGAGTATAGGAAAATTTGCAGGGAACAGGAGGCTGAGGCAGTGTACCCATAAATCAGCTCAATCTGGAGGCACAGCTGTGGTCTCACAAGCATTTGTGCTCCTAATTTTGTAGCCAAGACTTGCACATTTCCCTGAATGAGAATAATTCTACACAAGGTTTTGCTCAGCATTGAGACCAAAGCCTACACCAGCCCAAACCAGCACAACCAGGCACATAGGGTGCCCCATGCCATCCTTCTGCCATCAGCAACATAGTCAGGGGACACAGAGATGGACACCCAACAGCCTCCTCAGGCATTTTGGGATTGCAGTATGTGTCCTGCAGGCTAGGAGGTGCTATCACCAGCTGCCTGGTCACGGAAGAGAAATTCCCTCCAGGAAGCATTAACTAGCACCCAGGAAGAGGCAGGTACCGAACACAGACCCCAAAATGTACCTTTAACAGTATTTTACTGCAGTCCTCAAAAGCATAATCCCTCCTGCATGTAAGCAAGGCACAGGAGCCACTGGTGATCAGGGCCAGCCCTGGCCAGGGATCCCATTGCAGAGGCCAACAATCCCCAAACCTTGCAGACTCAGCCAAGAAATTCAGTTTTGTTCCAGCTCAGCCACTCAGGGTGAGATGCTCACAACCTCATGGAGGCTTTAAACCCTTCCCCAGGGGTGAGAACTCAGCCCTAGCCCCAAAACTGTGTGGCATGGCAAGCCAAACTCCTTCACAGAGCGCAAAGCAGAGGCAAGAGAGGATTCTTTTCACCCTTAGGGGCTGCAAGTTCACTGGTGCCCATCAGCATCTTACACTGTACCACTGTTCTATGTGGAAACTGCCGTGCAAGTACAACTGGCCACATGCCACTGCCAGGCAGGCATCAGCTTCAGTACGGTATGCAGAAAGTGAAATAGCTCAAAAGAAGAGATTAAACTCAAGCACTAAAATGCTGATTCTGGTGCATTTGAGAAACATTTTGCAGCCGTACAGTTAAAGCCTCTAACACAACACACACCCACAAAGGCAACATCAGAGATACCCTGGTGGGGTTTTTAACATCTCCTTCTGCACACTTGGCCACAAAACCCAAAGCTTCAGGGTCACTGCCACAGGGAAGCTAACATGCATGTGAGTGATGGGAGTGGGTTACAGCAACAGCCAGGAGATAGGTCTACATGGCATGAGCTTTTGACACAGCAGACTAGAGGTTTTACTAGCAGACTTGTACAGCTAGTCCTGTCAAAAATACAAGTATCAGCCCAAAGCAGGTTCAGAAAGAAAATACAAGAGATTTCCAGATGACAGCTTGTTTGTCGATCACGGCAGGGGCAGAATTACATCTGTGTGAGGATTTGGCAAGTAGAAACTACCCAACAACTGCTTGGAATTGGAAAAAAATATATCATTGAGAAGATTAAGTAAACAAGAGTACATAGCTAACATGATACACCAGGTATTGCTGCCCTGAGTTTGTGTGTTTATACTTGCCTGGACGCCCACAATCATTTTAATATCTTGAAAACAGCAGTAACAATTAAAAAGCATTTAATAATAGGTGTGTTTTTCAGAAGTGGAGTGTAACCTCGCAAGCCAAAGACAGTGATATAGATCACCTGCCCTGGGAATAATATGTTGAGAGTTGTTAATAAAGAGCAGTCCAGTGACACAGAGTTAAAAATCAGAGCGTAGCACTGAGAAGCTCCTGCCTTTCCTTTAGATGCCCTTTACACCCACTACACAAAGACTTACAAACAACTTACAAAGGTTAAATTGGGAGTTTAGGATGCTTTTAGGACAAGGCAACACCTAAAATAAAGCTCACAGCCAAACACACAGTATGAAGTTAAAGGAGATAAACCAAAGGCTGAAGTGGAATCACTGGAGTGTTATCAGCTGTGGAGCAGATGCCACCACGAGCTGAAGTATTCCCTCTGACTCTACTGCTTTGACTTCTACAGCTGCTACTACCCTATCAAAATGTTATATGTTGTTCTACACATTTCAGGTCCTAAAACACGTTAACTATACTGTTTTAAATGGCAGATATCCTTATAACTATTAACATCATCACTATTCTACTACTAACAACACTGGTATTTTTCAAGCTAGTTGCAACTTGTGTTAGTAACCATATTAATTCCTTTACCAACCTTGCTTTCAACAGCACAGCAACGTGCAAGTATAACTACAGTAAGTGTTGATGGGATTTATAACTGGGTCCTGACTATAAATCATGCTTTTTATCAGCCTTAGAAACTTTTTATTGCTTTTTTCATCCTTCATTTTAAAGCAGGGCCTATACCAAGGTGTAGCTCTTACTATGTGCCCCGAAAGCTAAAAGATATTATGTCTCCTAAGCAAAAGTAAAAATGAAAGTAAACATTTAGGGATTCCAAGGAGTCATTTTGAAAAAATAAGTGTATTTTGAGGCTATATTTGTGTTCATGGTAGAATTGGAAAGCTCAGTACAAAAGGCTTGACCGGCCCCACTGAAATCAATGACATTTGTCACAGCAGAGGATGGAGCCAATGCACTGGAAACAGATCAAGGGCATGGCACGGGCTGACAAAGCGCTCCATCATTAGCTCTTAATTTAAGCTTAAACCTCCTTTATAAGGTGAGTGGGTGAGAACAGCAAACAAACCCCATATCAATCACTACATCCCCACAGTTCTCAACTCCTATTTATAGTTTGACTTTGAAATTATAGGGGAAAAATGCAAACCAGCATGCCAACGGGGAACGAGAGGGAACAGATACAGCCCATAGGACTCCAAGCTGTAAGGCTGCTGCTTTATCTCAAGTGTGCTGTCCACCACACACAGCACTGCTGCAAGTTCAGACTTTGTCAATGGCCAGCTTTTGACAAAGCTGCAAAGACTCTTTCCTTGAGTTCCACAGAAAGCAAAAATAAAAAGGATTCAAAGGATTTCATGCCTATTTTAATCATTGACAAGCTGTAGGCAAGCCATCATTTCTTGCCTTCTTTCTGATTTTCACATTACATCCTCCTTCTCTGACACTACCAAAGCCTTTCCGCATGGCACCACCAGCACCTTTGAGGCTCCTGAGCTTTGCTCTGTTAGAGATGCCCTATTAATCACTGTCTTTTTTATTTTCTTACTTGAAACTGCTTTTTAAAGTGAAATCACTAAGCTAAAAGAAAGTATGTCCAATGCGAAAGTCTAAATAATCATTAAATAGCTAATTCATATGTCACATCCACAGCTAAATCATCACAACCAGCTTTTCAACAAAGGATTCTAAGAGTTCCAAATGTACCTTTTTGATTGTGCCATCACCTGACACAACACAGATCAATCATTTGGCCTTTCAATCACCCGTCTTCACTCCATTCTCCATTGCCAGCTTGAGCCATGCCATCAATCCTCATTGCTGCCTTCCTCCATCCCATCATCTTACTTACCTTTTACTCATCCATTTGGTTCACTAACCCTCAGCCTTTCCGCACTGTCTTGCCCCAAAACAGGCAACATCCTCACAAAGTGCTGCAGGACAGGCACAGACCCCAAATTCACATCCACACTCCCAAGTGAGCAGTGTCCAAAAGGATGTCAATCAGGCAAATGCCTCCTCACATGACAGCAAGGGACAGCTCATGTTTCTCCCTAACAGAAAGAGGAAAGCAGTAACGGAAAGACATCAAGCCTTAAGGTGTAATTCCTTTAAAATTTGTGAAGGATTTAAGGCAATAGTGAGTGTAGCCCCACTGGTTTGTGGGTTACCACACAGGAAAATCCCAGACTATGACAGGTTTTTACTTTTTCAACGCATAAAATACATATGTATTTCATTTTACATGCATTTTCTTTGCACTGCATGCTGGACCAGACAGCTATTTGCCCATCAAACAGGGATCTCTGTTTCAGAAACCACCTTCCCAAAAGGATGCCCACCCTCAGTCTGCCACTGCCATTTGCTCAGTTTTCAGCCCTGGGCAAATAATTCAGGGTCTCAGGTTGTTTCAGAGCTATTTGTATCCTTGATATTTATCATCATTCCTATCATAATCAGTTAAAATTATACCTTTGGCTCTTCACAGCCAACAAAGTTCTGCATGGCTTCACAGGTTTGTACAGAGAGGAGCCCTGAGCTGTGCTCAGGCCTTGGTTGGAACACTGGGGGAGAAGTTGCCAGAGTTCAAATCATTTTAACTTGGGCACACAAGAACTAAATCAAAAGCAAACCAGCACACACATCTGGAAGCTCTGTGCATTGCACATGGCGTTCAGTTGCATTTCTTTCTAAATCAACTGAAGATACAGGTCACAAAAGTCATTTGTCATGTTAGAAGTGGTGCTAATTCAGTTTTGAGAACAGGTGTCTAAAAATCATCCCTATCAGGCAGTGCTTTTGCATTTATGTTAAACTCTGGCTGTTTTGTTAAGAATACAGCGCTGAATGCTCAGAGGTCATGTAAATGCCTGAAAAAAGCTTAAAATCACACCTCTAGGTCCTCCTTTTTAAACCAGTGGCTCTTCATCCACTCTTCACTCTGACTGCCCAAAGGGGACACCACTGTCCCTTGTAAACGTTGTAGAATTCACCATTTGTGCAGATTTCCCCCTTCATTTCAAATAAAAGAATTGTTTTCTGTGCCACTCATTCATCCCTGCAAGTGAAAAACTATCCATGTTTCATTTGATCTCACTGAAGAGCCAAGCTGGGGGGTTGTGTGAAGGATTAGAGAGCGGTGTGATAATATGCAATGAAAAAACAAACTTATTTTCTAGGGTTCCACAAATATTCAGTCTATTTTCTGAAGTTTCCAAGCAAGCTGTGGAGGAGTTGTGTGGGCAGAAGCTGCACTCTGCAGGAATCACCACAAAACAGCCCTAGCACCGCTTGGACTGCACCAGAAGCGAATCCCTTGGTCAGCTCACCAGTGCCACCCTACGGCAGAAGATTAAATAGAGAGAGATGCACGAAATAACCCATTTTAGGGTCTTTTTCTGGGCAGGGAGCTCGCTGCAGATGTGCCCAGGGTAGTATCAATTTCTTCACCATGGAAAGCAACGATGAGACCCCTCCAAGGGTCTTCCAAAAAGACTCCAGCAAAGGCACGTAGCACAAGGGACAGTCTCTGGGATGAAAATGGGAATCTTCACAGGCTCTGGAGGAAACATATTGTAACCCAGAGAACTGTTTAAAACCAGTAACTCTCACTGGAGATGCTCATCCCTCTGATTTTCTCCCGAAGCCAAAGATGAGTAAGCAACACATCCAAAGATAAGAGAAACTTTGTTGTCAGATGAGGTAACTTCTAAAGCCTTTTACTGAGCTTTGCAGGGCACTTCTCAGCCAGGAGCTGGGAAAACAAGAGAAAGGGAATTCTAAACATGAACAATAGTGCTGCCTGAGACCTCCAGGACCATCACTGCACTGCTCTGAGAGATGCTCTTCCTGCTTGCAGGCTTTTCTTTATTAAAAGACTCTTTCCCTCTATATTGTTCCTCCACCCTCACCAGCTGCTGCCTCAGCTAAAGGCACTCTCCCACACTCATTTACACCTGGTAGTACTCGCCCAGCTTTCAAAAGTTACTCCAGTTATAACTCTCCCCCCACTTTATGACATTCCTCCTATTTCCAACCCAAATGCCCTCATTTATGACAACATAACAAATTAAAAGTGTTTCAGGTCCATCTACTCATGCCTTTCCTCTGTCCATGAGCATCTTTCAGCACAAGCCTTAGCCCCAGCTCAATACCTACCCCCAAAGCATATTTACCACTTCAAAAGAGGTATTTACTTCAAAGATACTATATAAATACTTAAAAGAAATATTATCAGATTCTCAAATGCTACACCAAATAGGCCTACACATTTAGTAAGTAAACACACATGTATACAAATACACAAGTAGTAAGTAAATACACACATACTTACAAACAGGGCACCCATATGGTACCACTGCCTGTCCCAAACACTGACCTCAAATATTCTTGTTTCCAGGGAGTTGGGCAAAGAGAAAGCAGTTCAACAAAAAAGTAGCATGAAATATGAGGGTAACTTCTTGGAGAGACTTTGTTACAGAGAATAGTTTTCCTTTAAGCAGGGGATGGAAATACTCATTAATACAATCTCACAGCATGTGTGAATAATGATTTCAGAGGAACATGGACTTAAGGCATCAGATCAATGAACAGGGGTGGTTTACCAAACCAAAAAAAGACCCAAATCCAGGGCTTCCAGAAGCTGCTACAGCTCCACTTCAATACCTGGCCAAGGACATTAATGTTCCTGGAAAGAAGAACTACAAACCATGTCCTTCCTTCCAAGTAGTATAGAGGGGTTTCCATCAGCATATATAACAACTGCTATTAGAAACAGACACCCCCCATCATCCCACAGAACTGCTCCTGCCAGCTCACATTAACACATTTTAGTCAAAGCCTGTGCACAGTAAAGCCCCTGCACCTGCATTTACAAGCTTTCACTACAAACCCTCAGTTTTAAGACTGCTCCCACTCAATGCATCTGCTGAGGCTGTTTCTAACCTGCCAGGAGGCTGCAAAAGACCCAACTTCCCAGTTGTTGTCTTTTTCTCCTCACAGAAAGTGTATCTTAAAGCTGACATCCCATACACCAGCAGGACACCTTGGTTTAAAAGTTTGCTAAATATCAAACCAGTTGATCCTCAACTTAATACAAAAGATAAGACAAAGATAGCCCAGACAGACATGAAGAAGTCTCTCTTGTCTGTTTGTCTGTGTCGCTTTCTACCACAACTAGGGGGGAAGCAAGTGCTTTCCTCAACTCTTCCACTAGTTTCAGATTTCTCAGTAGTAACAGTCATGACTCAAATGTCTTGAAAGCTTCTTACTCAACAGAAACATTAAAGAGTGTGTCTACTGCAAGTGTGTATATTGGGTATAGTAGATAGGATGTAAACACATAAGCTGTATATATGCACACTCCTAACTACTTTTCTTAAAGAAAAAAAGAATGTCCTCTGACAATTGTTCAATCCTCTACCTTAGCTGCACTTTATACAGTGCAAAAAATATAACTTACTTCTGAAATCACAGCACTGGTCTAGGATTTTCATCTGTAACTGGTTTTCACAGATTCAAGCACCCACTTTAGAAAATCCTTGGTTGTAGACATCTACAGCTTAGTCAAAAGACCAGCAATGCTTAGGATGATTACAGGTTCAAATTTACCTACATCCTCTGCTTGAATTGATGCTCCATTCCCATAAGTAAAGCACACACTGTGCTGCTACATCACACCTCCTTCCTGCTCAGGAACACAGCAGCATGGAACTCCCAACTACCAAAAGAAGAAAGCACCTTCGGTGCTGTCCTAAAATAAGATGAGACACAGGTGCCCCACAAAGATAACGCAAGCCAAGAGTCAGATGACTGTGGCTGGGTAGTTTACTTGATACAATCAACCTACCTTCTTAATTTTACTCTGAAACCATTTAAATCAAAGATTTCACCTGCCACAGAAGCTTTGATTACTCCTCAAATTAGTTTTCTGAAGAAAACAGTAAGATTTAATCAAGTAATCACTGCAGCTAATGCAAGTTTAATGAAATTCTAGCAGCATCTGAAAGCTATCACAAGAGATACAGCAGGGAATTCAGGTAGAGCTAAACATGACAAGAACAGGGGGAGAAGAACAACTGAAAGAGAAAAGAAGTTTCTTTAAAATCATGCTATTCCAATGTATGTTCTTAAGGCTTCTTTAGAAAATTAGAATGAGAGAGATATATCCTACTGGAACAAGTTTACTAGTTCAAAATGTTACTGGCTCAGGCATCGCATGTGAACAGGCACCTGGGCTATTTAATGCTGGCCCTTGTCACATCCCTAATTATTCTTCAGAGCTTGTAATGAAATCAGTAGCTTGATATATCCTACCTGTGTGTGGTGCTATGGCTGGGGTACTACTGGAAGCTTTGTTGGAGCAGTAACAGACACTATTTCTTTCCAGCATTGTCCTTGTCTGCAACAATAACAAAAAGAGGAATATTATTATTAAGAGGGTTTATTTTATTTTAAGGTAAGTGCTATCTTTATCATTCCCTATGAGTTGCTTTCATAGAGCCAGATTTGTGTAATGGGTTCCACTTAAACATTAAATACAACAAATAAAATAGTAAGTGCATGTAATTTCCCATCAAAACCATTTAAGGAGCACAATTTAAGTTTATGTTCTATTTTATACTATAAGATTAAGCCCAGGAGAAATTAGGACAATGAGAAGGCACCCAGTGGACGAGTGTATGCCAAATGGTAGCTGCTTCTTGCCACAGAATTTGACTAAATGGATCATAACTAACTTCCACACAACTTGGGAAAGTTTAATATAAACAAGTTTGCTGCTGCTATCACATAAGTTGCACCAGCATGCTTGGCGAGCTGGAGAGGATGGGGCACAGACGTACAGGCTAAAAGTGAGCTGCTTAAGCCCATGATGGTTACAGAACATGTACACTTCAGGATTCTCATTTTGGTGAGTGTGGGAAAAGCTATCTAATAATTTTGGTTTAAGTCAAGAGCTCTATTTTCAATGCTTATGGCTGTTTGTGAACTGTTTAACTCTTCTCATGCATGTTTGAATGGAAAAAATAACAAGGTTGATCATCACTTTTAAAAGCATCATCTGAAGAACATTTTGTTATGTTTATTCTGGACATTTTTACAACCATACATAATCTCAGCTATAGAATTCAGTCTTTGGTACGAGTCATGTGGATGAATAGCTTTTTTTGAAGCTGAAGCATATATTTTGCATGGCTGCTTCTCAAGAGTTTAAAAGTTATGGCATTTCTCTAAGAACTCGGAACAACATCAGAATAGTTATGATTGTGTAGTATCACTGGTGACAGAGCCAGGAGGACAACACGCCTCAGTTTCTTTTACCTGGACAAAATGTCACGTATTTATAGTAATGCAGAAGTGTTGTGTGCTAGTTACTGTTGACAGCAGAAGTGTTCAAGCAAAACACTTTTCATGCTAATTCTGTGCGGCTTTGCCCTTTGTGGTGAATGCACAGTGCCTGTTAGAAAGATCTTCACTTATATATCACTTTTAAGTCATCCCCATGTATTTCTCTACACCTTTGTTTCGATTCTTTCTAACTTCTGCAACCTCAAGATACATATATAGCTTTGCATTCTCCATGAACTGCTGCCCTGCTGTCTCTTCTTTGCTTGTCATTTATATCATGCAATTCTCTGCTTTAAGTATGTTGGCTTTCCCATTGAATTTAGGCTTTAAAAGCTCCCACTGACCACCTCTGTGCTTAACAGAAGACACCACTTGTGTTGCTCAGGTCTCTTGTATTATATGAATGCTTCCAATCACTCCTTTACCACTTCTAGAAAATCAAATACATTTTAATGTATTTGAACAGTATAGAGCTTTGAAAAGTTACTTGCCATGAGCTAGAGAACAACAATTTTAATAAGTAATAATGACAAAAATCTTTCCAAGCAATCCTCTGTTTGTCAGCAGCAAAGCAAATGTGAATTCAGACATACACACAGTGAACATGCTTGCTCTGCCACCTAAAATATTTTTGTCCCAAACAAAACTGCACCAATGACTTCTAATCTGGCTAAAGCTAACAGCCCTTTGACCAGGCCAAATCCTAAGTTTCTGGATCACTCATTTCTCTCTTCTGTGTTTTGCCAAAAAATAAGAACCACATTGGCACAGAAGTAAAATGATTACTTGGACAGTGCTCCCAGCTAATGATGTGTTTTCTATACATGCAACTTTAATAGAAAAATACAGTTAACAGATTGCTATACAAGTAATATAAAAATAGCATTAGAAACAAACTAGTAATAAATGGCATCAATTTTATATTAAATATCCCCCAAATTTAAACTGTTAACTCCAGATGACAGATGAATTTAGGATGAAGTGTCACAGTTTGTATTCATTTAATCCTACATGGCTCTCACTGTTGGAGTGATCAAGTCTCCACTATCGTGTTACTGTTCAGTTATGCTCCCAGACATAAATAACAATAATTACTAATATTTTTTGCATTGTGCAACTAAGAAATAATGTCTGAGAAACAATTATTGTAAGGAAAAAGCACTCTCCTGTAAGTGTAACCTTTGGATACACTCTGAGCATGTAACAGGGCAACAAATACTTTAACTGGCAATTCTTTGTGATAAGCACTAACAACGGCTGTAACCCTCCTCTTGCACTTCGAAAAATAAGGCAGAAGCTCTTCCCTGTGAGGGTGCTGAGGCGCTGGCACAGGGTGCCCAGAGAAGCTGTGGCTGCCCCATCCCTGGCAGTGTTCAAGGCCAGGTTGGACACAGGGGCTTGGAGCAAGCTGCTCTAGTGGAAGGGGTCCCTGCCCATGGCAGGGCTTGGAGCTGGAGGAGCTTTGAGGTCCCTTCCAACCCAAACCAGGCTGTGATTTCTGACCTGTCACATGTAACACCGTCCCCACGCCAGGCTGCTGTCACTCAGCAGCAACACTGAGGTGGTGGCAGCCGGATGAAGCTTCACGGGTCTGAAGGTGCCACAAGGTCTCCTGAGGCACCAGTGGCGGGAAGGAGGCTGCAGCCATGGTGCAGGTGTGCCCTCCCTCAGCCTGACCCCCATTTGTGCTCGTGGCCACCCACATTTTAATTAGTTTTAGCTCTAAAGCTGTCTCTTTAGAGACAAGGGCCTCCGTGGGGCTTTTTGCGTCACTTTTTACCTCAGACTTCCCGGGCCGGCTCCGATGAGGAGCCGTGCGCGGCCTGACCCTCCTCAGCCGCCGTCGCCGGCAAGGCTCCGCGCTGCGGAATCGAAACTCTACCACCGGCACCAAAGCCAATCCGCTTCCACCTTACTGCGCGGAATCCGCCTCCAGCCGCTTCCCAGAACCAATCGGATGGTGGCTACCGGCGGGGCTTGTCTCGCCATGGCCGCCGCCACCACGAGCTGCCGCCGCGCCGCGCTCCGCGGTTGGGCCCTTGGCGGCGGGGCCGCGGCGCGATGGCGGCGGCCGCTGCTGCCGGAGGGCTGCGTGCTGCGGGTGGCGGCCGGGGCCTGCCGCACCCTCACGGTGGAGGTGGGAGGCAGGTGAGGGGGTCAGGAGGCGGCTCTCGGTACCGGCTCTGGGTCGGCGGGTTCAACAACCGTGAGGAGAAAGTGCCGCCGGCAGTGCTGCTGCGCTGTGGGAACGGGGCAGGGGTAGTTCCGCACGGAGGAGGCAGTGTGCTATGGCTGAGGTGGGGAAAGGGGCTCTGTGGGTGCCCGAGTGGATTTCCCTGTTTGTGCGGGTACAGCGGGTGCGCACTTTTGTTTTGTAGCGGTAACACAGGCTGAGAGAGCTGGGCTGGGCCAGCCTGGAGAAGAGAAGGCTCCTGAAGGGGAAACCTGAGAGCAGCTCCAGTGCCTGCAGGGGCTGCAGGAAACCTGGAGAGGGGCTTGGGACAAGGGCCTGTAGGGACAGGCCAAGGGGAATGGCTTTAACCTGCCCGAGGGGAGACTGAGAGGAGCTCTTAGGCAGAAGCTCTTCCCTGTGAGGGTGCTGAGGCGCTGGCACAGGGTGCCC